ACCACACTTCTGGTAACATGGGGGTGTGGCCTAATGTGCTAATGAGCGGTGCGGTCAGGGTGTGGCCTAATATGCTAATGAGTTTTACTGTTGGGTGTGGCCTATTATGCTAATGAGTTCCTGCTGGGCTTTTTCTACAAAAAGAGCCCTGCTTATAGCCATGAAAAGGCAAATCATCTTGGGCCTGTCAGTTTTACCTCATCAATCCAGGATCTCAGGCCCAGATCCTTTCCTTTCAAACCCAGTTTTCTCTCTTTTTAATTTCCTGCAGGAAACCTTGTGTAATGGGATGGGTTGAAAAGTGTGTTGTGATGGGTAGGGAAACGCCTGTGGTCGTGAGGCCTCTAAGAAATCCTTCACAATTCTGGGGGCACAGAGTGGTGGGATATGTTAGGGTTGCCAACTCTGTGTTAGAAAATCCCTGGAGACTTTGGTGTGGAAAGGGGAAGGACCTCAGGAAGGTACATTGCCACAGAGTCCACCCTCCAAAGCAGCCATTTTCTCCAGGGGAGCTGATCTCTGTGGTCTGGAGATTAGTTGTAATTCTGGGAGATCTCCAGGTCCCCACAGGGTTTTTAAACAAGTGATTTCTGAGGAAAAAATTGTTTTTTACTGACCGTAAAATGGCAATAGAGGTTCCTGAGGGGGAAATCAGGCTTTTGTGAGGGGGAAAAAGGGGGGTTGAGTGGGGTTTTATTAGATGAAGCAGATGAGAAGATTCTTCTTTAAAAAGTGGGAATAGAGGTGGCTAATTCTCACATATTTGGGTCTGGAGATTATACAGACCCAGACATGGTGGGATTTTGGAAGTTAAAAGAAAGAGAAGCTGAGCATGAGGAACAACTTGAGATGGCTAAGTTGGGGGGTATGGGAGGATTTGTCTGCATCCATTCTAGAGATGGAGCTGGGAAGAGAAACTGGGCAGGTGGAAGTGGTAAGTAGGACCCGGAAGGCTAAAGAAGGAGAAAGTGGTAAAGAGGCTCTTCATCCAGAAATGATTTTTATTCCCGATTAGAAAAAGGGTAAGGAGGTAAAAGAACCTTTCCCAGATAAGCCTGAGAAGCTTTTGGAGGAAGATACAGAGTGTGCCGATGAGGAAGTAGTGTTTAATCCTTCAAGGAAGCAGGGCTCACGAGAACTCCAGCAAGAACCATCAAGCTGATAAGAGCTTTCAAGAAAGGAGGTCTTGTTCACTCAATCCCTGTGGATCTTTCAGATACATACAGATCCAGTAGAAAACAGCAAGAATCCAGTAGCTGGAACTAGAGACGGGAGCTCACTCCGTCATGCGGCACCTGGGTCTCGAACTGCTGAACTACTGATCTTCCACAGCTTGCAGTTCAGCGTCTTAACCACTTGAGCCACCGCAGCTCCCAAAGAAACAGTACAAGATCGGAAAACGTGGAGAGAGCTGGCCCACAGAATCGCCAAGAGTCGAACACCACTGAATGGCTAATAACAACAAGATGGTAAAAGGACCTTGGAGGAAGGTGCAGAGTGTGCAGATGAGGAAGTAGTGTTTTATCCCTCATGGAAGCAGGGCTCACGAGAACTCCAGCAAGAACCATCAAGCTGATAAGAGCTTTCAAGAAAGGAGGCCTTGTTCATTCAACCCCCCATGGATCTTTCAGATACATCAAGATCCAGTAAAAAACAGCAAGAATCCAGTAGCGCCTTGAAGGCCAACAAGCTTTGTGGCAGCAGGGGAGGAGCTTTCGTGAGTCACTGCTCATTACTTTAGATACTCATGAAAGCTCATACGCATGAAAGTGAGCAGTGACTCACGAAAACTCTGAAGAAGTGAGCAGGAACTCATGGTACATTTTTCTGCCCTTGAGTTACTTACTGAGTGCGTGCAGATAACCTCAGAGGAGAGCCTGGGAAGCTGACAGCCTCCGGTATAAGGGCTAGAACCTTTGAGGCCCTTGGCTGGCCCAGCTGACTGTGGTTCCAGCGCCTGGGAGCAGGAGTAGGCCTCTCTAGGACCATACACCAAGAGGGCTTGGTCTCGCAGGGCATTTGGGACACATCTGTGCACAAACTCAAGGAGCTATACGGATTGTTCTGCTCAGTCATACTTACGTCTGTAAGAGAATCCATTGAACCTGTCCGCTCTGGACTTCTGTGCATCTTGGTCGTATGTTTCATTTACTAGCTTGATCTGAATAATCTCTTGTTCTTGCTTGACCTGTATGGATAGTCCTTCTTCTGCCTTAATTTGAGTGGACGGTTCTTCCTCTGCTTTAATTTGAATGGACAGTCCATTCTCATCCTTAACGTGAATGGGTGGTCCATCCTCATCCTTAATGTGAATGGGTGGTCCGTCCTCCTCCTTAATGTAAATGGACAGTCCATCCTCTTCCTTAACGTGAATGGATGGTCCATCCTCCTCCTTTATGTGAATGGGCGACCTGTCCTCTACTCTACCTGGCAAGAATGGTTCTTCCTCCAGTTTCACTTGGATGGATGGTTCCTCTTCTTGCATGGTTGGTACAACTGGCTCTTCTTGTTCTCATTCAAGATAAATGAAAGGTTCTTCTAATTTGGACTCAGCAGATTTATCTTGAAGGGATGTTATTTCTTCCAAAGTGGAGATAAAAACAGGTCTGGGAGGCAAAGCCCCTAGTTTGGAGGAAATTGTTAAAAGAAATTACAGAATATGTACAGGGAGACATCAAAATAGATCTTTAAAACCACAATGATAACAAGTACAGGACAGGGACAGTCATTTCTCCCCCCCCCCCTTTTTAAAATAAATTTATTTTCAATTTTCACAAAAATATATCCACTTAAAGCTTAAACAATTCATAACATGAAGTTCATCTTTCTTCTTTAACATAATATATAATGTCATTAACTAGCATATTTAATTTAATTTATTTATTTATGTTTGGAATTATATCCCACCCTACCCCGAAGGCTCAGGGCGGCTGACAAGGGCATCATGTGCCAAGGTTAAAACAATAAAACACATAATATAAAACAATAAATTACAATAAAATACAGTAACAAAATTTACCAAATTACAGTACAGATTTAGCAAAGATGGGTTTCAGATTTAGCCAAGATGGGTTTCAGTTTCAATTTATCTTTTTCATCTTCAGCCAGGCATAGATTGTTTCCCATCTTTCTCAAAATCGTTCCTCTGATTTATTTTGTAATATTATGCTTAATTTATCCATTTCTGCTACTTCTAGTATACTTAAGCTCTTTTATAGAAGGTATAGCATTTGATTTCCTCCGCTTCGCAATGAGTATTCTAGCTGCTGTTAATATATATACAATTATATGTGTATGGTCTTTTATTGTGTCCGGTATCATATTGAGTAGGTATATTGGTTTTTAGTATGTCTAAAAATATCTTATGGATTTTTCCCCAAAAGTTTTGAATTTTATCACACCTCCACCATATGTGGAGGTATGAGCCTATATTTCTTCTGCATCTCCAACAGATGTTTGA